AAACTACAAAATGGGTCTGGGGATGTGGCTCAGTGGTTGAGTGCCCAAGTTCAATCCCCAGTACCTTAAATAAATAAATAAGCAAAAAAATAAAAATAAAAAATGGGACTGGGGATGTGGCTCAGTAGTTAAACCTTTTGGTACCAATTCCTGGTACCAAAAAAAATATGTATAATTTTGCAGAAAGTTTAATGTATATCCTATTTCAAAAATCATAAAATTTATATTATAGTATGATTAAGGTACACAAAGCACTTTTTAGTCTCCATCATTAATATACAATTTTTGTTAGGCACCTATCTAAAAAGCTAATATATCTGTTTAAGAGAAAAAGGTTAGGGGCTTGGGTTATGGCTCAGTGGTAGAGCCCTTGCCTAGTATGTGTGAGGCACTGGGTTCAAGTAATAATCCCTTCTTAGCACTGCATGTAAATAAATAAATAAAGAGAAAAAGGTCAGACAATTTCTCCAAATTCTCCAATTCTAAAATAATGCTCCATTAGTATACACAAACAGACACTATCTAACAAGTTTTAAAAATCCATTACTCTGGGCTGGGGATGTGGCTCAAGCGGTAGCACGCTCGCCTGGCATGCGTGCGACCCAGGTTCGATCCTCAGCACCACATACCAACAAAGATGTTGTGTCTGCCGAGAACCAAAAAATAAATATTAAAAATTCTCTCTCTCTCTCTCTCTCCTCTCTCACTCTCTCAAAAGAAAAAAAAAAATCCATTACTCTTTTAAAAGCATATACCAAGAGCTGTAGATATAGCTCACTCATAGAAGACTTTCTTGTTATGTACAAGGCCCTGAACTTGATCCCTAGCACCAAAGCAGGGAAAAGAAAAACATAAAGATAAATTTATCTATTAAGTCTAAAAAGCAGCAGCAAATGTTCATATATGTTTTGAATATATATAAAATAACTTCCTAAAATTCCCCATTAAATATAATGTTTTGGTAGAAATGCATATTTGTTACTGAAAAACGCTTGCCTGAACTTTTTCTAAACTTGCAGAAATTTCTTCAGTGATTCATTTATCTCCTGGATTTTCTTAGAATCTTATTTTTAAGGGGTTCACATATTTAAAATAAGTAGTCAATTCTCACAGAATGAAACAACAATTCTAAATTGTGCATAATCCCTTCATCTTATCTCTCACTACAATATCACGGGGGAAAGATGAAGACCCCAAACAAGACCTGTTACTCCAGTCTGTTCATGCACCTCTAACAAAGAAATAAAACTTCTTGACTAAAATATGGTATCCCTCCCCTTTAATGGATTGCCAAGAAAAAAGGTTGCTGATTTGTGTTTCTACAGCCAGCTAAGGTAACTAACGGGTTATTTCTTCCAGTCTCCCTCTTTCCATCTTTCCACTAGTAAGATTAATAATAAGAGTTCCATATCTAAAAAAGGAGAAGGCAATAGATAAGCTCTAACCATTTGTGTATAGGAAATAATCACATGCAAATTGCATTGGTTTAAAAATACCTGCTACATACCTTTGTTTCATCAATGACAAGATGCAACATGATTGAAACCTCCTAAAAATGAGATGCTTTTATAAATTTAGTTAAGGCAAATTATGCTAAGAAAGTGCAACAAGAAATCATGTGCACAACCATAGATTCCAACCTAGACACTGCAACTACTTTATCTCAAAGACTAACAACTGCTCTGAAATGCTATGTTGTAGCAACATGTCAATCTGCCATGAAAATTTTTTTGAATCTGGAAAATGCAAAAAAATAAATTTACAAATACAACCCACTTTAGCTTACCATTTATCATATTTTAGGACATATAAACAAAAAATAACCTCCATAATATAGCAAGAATGAAAATATGATATTCATATTGCATTTACTATTTCTTATTAATATCTCCCTCCAAAACCAATACTTATGTGAGTTAAACATAAGCATATTTGTCACTTTAGGAAACCAAACTACACTGTTAAAGTCTGAGTAGTGATTTTAGGTCTTTTTKAATTTTTACTTATTTATTTTTGCTGTACTGGGAAACTAAGGCCTTGCACATGTGAGACAAGTGCTCTGTAATATCTCCAGCCCAGACCTTTTTTTTTWAAAAACATTAAATGAGTGAAAAAAAATTTTTTTTCTAAATAAATATTTTTGGCACCAGGGATCCAGGGTAGCTTAACCACTGAGTCACATGCCCTGCCCTTTTTATTTTTTGAGACRTGTCTCACTAAGTTTTTAAGGACCTCACTAAGTTGCTGAGACTGGCTTTGAACTTGAAATCTTCCTGCCTCAGCCTCCCAAGCCATTGGGATGACATGCATGTGTCCCTGTTCCCAGCTTAAAAAAAAAAATTTTAAGAAAGAAAAAAAAAAAGTAGAAAGTGGACTTTAAGTAAAACATTAACTCAAATGGGAAAATTAAATTCAAATAATTATTTTAAAATGTTTTACTCAAGAAAATTACAAAATAATTATATTTACTCCAGCCAAAAAAATCTCGTGAACATGCTTAGTAAAATAAAGTTTCTACTCAAACTAAAATTTGACATTAAAAAAAGAACCGAGCTGGGGATGTGGCTTAAGCCTTAATGCGCTCGCCTGGCATGCGCGGGGCGCTGGGTTGGATCCTCAGCACCACATAAAAATAAAGATGTTGTGTCCACTGAAAACTGAAAATTAAATATAAAAAAAACCCACTCAGAATAGCACATTTTAAAGAATTTTTTCAAAAAGAAAAAGCAATCAACTATAATTTTTAAAAATTGTTACCTTCCATCCAAGACATAAAATGAACATATAATACTTTTTAAAAGATCTCTACCAACAAACAAAATCAGAGCTTACATGGAAAATAGTTTAAAAAAAAAAAAAAAAAAGGCAACAGAGGGCTGGGGATATAGCTCAGTTGGTAGAGTGTTTGCCTTGCATGCATAAGGCCCTGGGTTCAATCCCTAGCACCACAAAAAAAAAAAAAAAAAAGGCAACTGAAATAGCAAGTATACAAAGTCAATTTTATGTTTAATAATACAAAAGATAACTAATTTTCAAGAAAAGGTAACTAATTTTTTAAATATACATACCTTTTATCAGTCTTGATAAAAGACACATATGGTCAATTTCACTAAATTTATCTAATTTCCAACCTTCACAATCCATTTCCATCTTTGTGCCCCAAATCTTTTTATTTGTAGAAAAATAAGATGTACATTCAAGGAGCTCATATTCTACAAAACTTTCAAGTGTGTCCAGAAGCCACTTTCACACTAACGAGACCACCACTAATTTAAAACTCAGAAGCCCTAATTTCACATTTATTCATTCATTTATTTATACCCATGCTGTACTCACACACTTCTCATTCTGCTAATGCAAATACAACTTCAGACATCAAAATTCCCCTAATGTTTCCCTTCCCCATCCTGCCTTCCCAACTAATACAATGAACTCATAAAACTTGTCTTCCTAGATATTGCCTTTTCGACCCAAGAAACCAAAGTAGCAAAACAAAAACAATTAGTTAACCAGGTTTCTCAGGGGGACCCAGGAAATCTATTAACAGGGAAGTAGCTTGACAGTCTCCCAACAGCACCAATTTACCCTGCCTTCACACTRCCAAAACTACTCCGTATTTCCACCCTCTGAAAAACACTCAATTTTTCCACTAAAGCAATCTAATCTAATGAATCAAAACCTGCCCATCCTTTCTCTAACTCTCTTTCTTCAAGGCCTAACCTCCAATAAGAGGAAAAGAAGCAGAAATGAGGAGGGGGCAGGAAATGATCCCTTCCCCTCTATTCCCTTCCGGTGCCCTCTTCCAAAAGAATTGGTAAGATGCACATTCAAGAAACTGGCCTTTTCTTTCCTGATCCTAGAAGATTGTTCCACAGATTTTTATCCCAGAGTCCCCACAAATAAACACTCTACACAACCCTACCTCCTTAAAATAACTATAAAACAGAAAGTTGATGCCTCTACTATATCCTCTTCAAGCATCTGATAATATTTTCACAACTATCTAACGCTACTCTACTTAAAATATATTAAAAGGACAGGTCTCTTGTTTCTTTTCAGTGCTTCAACAACAATCCTAAAACCCCAATTAACTTCAGTTGTGCTATCAATCTTTCATCAATATTCACAAAACCCTTATTCTTTCTACTACCCCATTTACTCCTCCAACACCCCGTATCTAATAAAAAAAAAAAAATCCCTAGATGTTGCAGGTATACCCCTTAAACCCCTCCACCAATATTACGTCCAAGTGTAGTCCTTTCAATCCTCAAACTTATTTTAAAAATTCTCAATTTTTTTCTAACCTCCCATGACAACTAAAAATCATTGGTTGATTCTCTTAGCATTATCAACTCCTCAATAATACTTTAAAAACCCTTAATACCCTTACTGGCACACTTATCAGCTCCCCAATAATTTTTAAAACCCTTTGATGCCCACATACCCTTTCGGCTCCTCCATAACATTTTTCAAATCCTTCAATACTCTTGAACCCTTCGAGCTCACCAATAGCTACATAGCATCAAAGTCCCTACTATCTCTTTCTTCCCTAATATTTTGAAAAGGCCCTCGATACTCTGCTTCTAGATCTGTTAGTCCTGGATTAATACTGGTTTGTAAAGCCCTCGATCCTGCTGTCTCCTTCAAGATTTGATTATTCACATTTAAAAATCCCTCGATAGCCCTGCCATCTCCCTCAGACCTCAAACAGCAGTATTTTAAATTTCATTACCCCAATAGGCATATTTTAAAAGCCCTCGCCGTCCTCGTGACCCCCCCTCAACCCCACATCAACACCGCCTCTACGCCCCTCGCTCTCCCTCTCCCTCCGCCTCCCTTCCCCCCCCACAATGGTGATAGTACTACAGAGAAGACGTCGCCGGGACCTCCCCACCGCCGCCCCGCCGCGCCGCCCACCTCACGCCGCCTCCCCTCCCCCACGCCCCCGCGGGCCCCCAACGCCCACGTTCGCCGGCCCCGGCCCTGCCAGGCTCACTCACATCGGCTCCAGTAACTTGGCCAGCCAGGACTTGAGGGCATCCACATCCTCTATGAGCATGGTGCAGGGAAGGCGGGCTCGGCCGCCGCTCTTTTTCAGGCCTGCCGTGGGTCTCYACTCGCCGCCTCCTCACGCTCCCTTCACAACCCCCAGTATCTTAGCCCACCGGGCATCTTACGAGACTTCAACCTACTCCCCCGGCCGGGGCCTAACAGGAACTAACCCAAGAGCCCTCACTCAACCTAGCCCGAAGGCTCAGGTGGGCGGGAGATAATGACGAGTGGCGGGTGTGATACCCAATAGAAGAGAGAGGGCCGTGCGCGCAAAGCCAATGAAAAGGCTCGCTCGCCCCGCCGGCCGGCCGTACCCAGTTAGGGAGGAGGGATATAGCAAGGTAGGTGGAGAGCTTAAGTGAACTCCTGGTGCAAGATGGTATCTTGGAGAAGGTGCTGTGCCTCTTAAAGGGGCCGCAGCGCCTTTTTGGACCACGCCGTCGCCCGCCGCGGAATACCGGTGTCTGCTGTTGGGAGTGCCTGGGGGAACCCGGCGAGCCCCTCATCCTGGTTCCTTCCTCTCGTTTTTCCTGGAAACCCACACTCGTGTCCCGAAATGACTCAGCTGTAGTAAATCTGCAACACAACGTGCAATAGGATCACATTCGACACATTGCAAATAATGCAAAATCTTACTTTTTTCCTTACACACTCGTTTTGATCCGCACTCGTGCCTGTATTTTTTACTGCTGTGCTTAAATTACGCAGAATGTTTCTGACAACCATACCTTGGAATCCAGTAATCGTCATTTTAAAAACGTGGCGCACGGATGTAGAAGACTGAGGCCATTTCATTTTTACTAGTATTATTAGTAAATGCCTTAGGGGGAAAATTATTCTAATAAGTTTGTGTAAAAAYTCTCCCTGTTTTCTTCAGGGAGAATTTTGATTAGCAAAAGAGGTTTAAAAAATAATATTAAAGAAGAATTTAAAAATTACCAAAATAGGCAACTTAGTTTTATTAGGTAAGAAATTCCTTTGGAAGTCCGAAATCTGTGGCTTAGCACTGGTGATAGAGTGTTTATCCAATAACAAATGCTGTGCCGCTGTTATGAGCCAACACTGTGTATGGCACCAGGAGTGCAATGGTGAACAAAGCAAACTGAGTCCCTCCTTTTAGGAAAGAGAACAATTTATGAATTATAATACATTTGGAAAAATACCTGATGAGCACACATTTCATATAACAGAGATGGATCAACCCAAGATGAGTAAATAAACTAAATATACTGTACCTAGAACAGATGTAGGCAAGCTTTTTCTGCAAGGGGCCACATAGTAAATATTTTTGGATTTATGGGCCTTGAGTTTTYTSTGGCAAATAYTCAATAGGCAATGTCTTGGCATGAAACTGGCCAGAGATAATACATAAGAAATATTTGGCTATATTCTGAAAAAACTTATAGGAAAATTTCATTTTATGTAATTTATATGTCATGAAATATTATTATTTTAATTTTTTCCCCCAACCATTTACAAATCTAAAAGGCAACGGCTGGGATGTGGATCAGTGGTAGAGCTCTTTCCTAGCAAATGTGAGGCCCTGGGTTTGATCCCCAGTACTAGAAGGAAAAAAAAAAAGTAAAAAGCATTATAACCTTACAGGTATACAAAAACTGGTGCCAGCAGGRTTTGTCTTGCTGGCCACAGTTTTCTGACCCATTATATAGAGTAATAAAAGCAGAAGTGCACTTAGAAACCATCTAATGAGCCTTCCTCACTAACACTTCCCCTGCAACTTTGCAAATGAGGAAAAAGCCCAGGGAAATTAAGTAGTTTACCCAGAATCACAGGTCTGTAAATGGAGCAGAAGTAGCATCCAGAAATTCTGACAGTAARTCCAGAACTTTCTCACATCCAATTGTTGCCTCTTCTTCCCTGTCTCCTCTTCCCCTTCTTCCTTTACACTTATCTATATTTTCCCTTTATTTCTTTCCACAAAGGAGATGAAGTGTTACCCTAAAATGACACATTTAAAAAGAAAAATACAAAAGTAACCTATAGGCCAATGGCTAGTCAAAAATTGGATAGGATGCCTGGCATGGTGGTGCATGCCTGTAATCCCAGCAGCTTTAGAGTCTGAGCAGGAGGATGACAAGTTCAAGTTCAGTCTCAGCAATTTACCAAGGCCCTAAAAAACTTAATGAGACCCTGTCTTAAAAATAAAAAATAAAAGGGCTGGGATGTAGCTCAATGGTAAAGTGTCTCTAGGTTCAATCTCCAGTAAAAAAAAAAAAAAAAAAGGAACTGGATAGTATTATAGAAATGAAACAGGAATTGCTTTTATCACATTACATCAGCCTTTTTCAAGAATGTCAAAGTGCTTTTCAAATATTTTAATTTATGTAACAAATTTTCCAGATTTTACTTCAGAAGACAAAGGTTTTATATATATACATACATACACACACATATATATACATACATATTACATATATGCTTCCTGGTTACCATGGGCATCATTTAACCAACAACATTACAGAGAAAACAACCATGATTATAGTGGTAAGACTTGGTTTTGGGGATCCTGAGTAATTTTCTTCCCTTTTTCTTTCTTTCCTCCACCCCCCCCTCCCCAGCTTGTATGTGTCTGTAAGTGTGTTTTGAGGATTTAACCCAGGGGCACTTTGCCCTGGATTACATCCTTTTTTTTTTTTTTGAGATGAAGTTCTCTGTTGAAAGTTTCACTATATTGCTGAGTCTGGCCTCAAACTTGTGATCCTCCTGCCTCAGCCCTCTGAGTCTGAGTCGCTGGAATTACAGGCATGTGCCACCACACCTGGCTCCCCCTTTTCTCTACTACAATGTTATCATATTACTTCAGTGAATTGAGTACATTTTATATACATATAGAAATATTGCTTTGACGGGCTGGGTTGTGGCTCAGTGGTAGAGCACTCGCACGTGCAAGACCCTGGGTTCAATCCTCAGCACTACATAACAATAAATAAGTAAAATAAAGGTATTGTGTCCAACTACAATTGAAATATTGAAAATATTTAAAGATGAAAGAAATATTGCTTTGAAACTAGATATTAAAGCATTTATAAAAAGTTGCTTTTCCCAAAGTAGGAATGAGATAATATATATGTAGTCAGTTCTACTCCCTGCCTGGCTCACTCCCATTTGCTAAATGGTTCAGCTTTGGTCACTAGCCATGAAACAGAATTTTTCCATTTACTTTATTCAGTACCATGCACTGTGTGCACAGGACTGACTCATCTGCAGTCCACTAATGGATRAGGTTCATAGTTATTGGCCTCTCCTGACTTYAGTGCATGCATATATGTATTAATTCAATATACACATACTGAGTGCTGGTTACCATGTGCCAGAGTCTATGCTGGAGCAGAGACAAAGARAATTTTGAAGTTATATCCATTCTCTAAGTCTTTGGAATGCATTCTAAACTTTTGGGGAGCTCAGATTCTGGTGATTTATTGGGCATGGAAATAATTATCATAGCTAAATTTGTTGAGCACATACACATACTCTGTACTCTCCCTATGTTAAGTGTTTCAGTGTACTGTGTCCTCTCATCTTCACAGTACCCCTATATAATAGACCTGTTCACAAATAAATTACATTCCAGAAAGGTCTTGAAAATAATGGATGGAAGGGTTCAGCCTTGACTATTTGACTCCAAAGCCCACACCTGTAACCTTCACTAAATCATCTTGCTAGTAAACATTAAAATATGAGCCAGGGGCTGGGGATGTGGCTCAAGCGGTAGCAC